ATCAGATCTTCTGATTACAGCCATCACAACAGTTTGAATAAGAGTAAACTATGAGTAAAACATGAGTTATGCGTTTACTCGCAATTCCTCAACAGCTTTCGAAACGATCGCTTCGCCATGATCGGCGACAGCAGCCGATGACAAAATGAGCTCCCATGGATTCTTAACTGATTGGCGAAATTTCACACTCATGCAGATGTTAACTGAGCTAAAAAAAAAGGTAAAATTTGATGTATGGGCGATTGACGGCAGAAGCATCTGTCCAGTCGCATATGACATGCACACGACAGATTTGATGAGAACGTTAGCGGTGATACGCTCTGAAATGGCTACAGTTAAAAATGACTGTACTACGTAAAGACAACAACTGCAGTTTTTTCGACAACGTTCGACTAGTCCAACATTGGCTAGTAACTTTTCCTAGGTCAAAATTAGGGATGAAATTATCGAGCTTTGCTACTAACGGATCATTTGGATTTTCTTGGATTAAATCTCATTGTGTATGTGACTTTAATCTTTGCAATAAAGCTGATTCTCGGTGACATTTCGAAAAGTGTTTGATGCTCTCAATAATTCAATTCAGCACACAAATATCCAGCTATAATCACACTTCGTATCGCATATAACTTTAACAAGGCCAAAATTATGATCGATATGCATTGCACTGAACAGAATCAATGCTTTGTCCGTAGTATTCATAAATACATTTTTTTTCTTATCAACAAAACATACGCAGTCTCAACGAAATAGAATGAACCGTTACATGAAACACTAAATTAAGAAATTTGCGTGGTGAATGCAACTCATGCACAATCTCAGATGAAAATATTCAATCGAATTTTCGGTTTCGCATGTTATATTTGCAGCGCAGTTATGCACACTTCTCGTGTAGAGAAATCAACGAATGAAATCATTGGGTAAATGATATCATTTCTTATTCTAATTACGTTAATCATCACTTTACTCATTCCACCAGCTCCTCGCAATGGGCTCACTCCACAGCTATTGTTCTCATCAATCATAACGGCCAGCCATTCAACATATCATGCTCCCACTAGCAACAAAAATCCAGCACCAAAATGTGCTCATAAAAGAGAATAATTGACAAGCAGCACATAATCAGTGGACGATTTAGGAGTGAGTGCACATAGTCGCATTTTTTGGAGTAATTTAACAGTTATCACTCATGGAGTGTTTCACTTTCACTATAAGAACTTGCGATCAAAACACGATAACGTCCCTTACTGTATGAACATTATTTGATCCAATGACTACCGACAAAAACTGAATCATCGATAAGAAGAAAACCTGAAGACTAACATTGAAAACGTGCACAACCACGTGGCTCAGGAGTGCTACTATTGAATTCGAGATTCCATTTGACATCAGCTGATAGCACGCTTTCCTATTCGATAGTGAAACAGGCATGATTCAACCTCAACAATTGCAGTCGAAAAGTTTTGGCTGCTTTACGTGTTATTAGAGGATCTCTGAGTGTTTCTTTAGGCTGATGATCTGGCGCAGCTTATGAATCAGCATGTGTGTCATGTAATTATGAATTGCAGTTCACGTCAGCATAGCCATCAGACGTATTCAATGTCGAAGTGTGATTTTATGGTTCATGATATAGCTCCAGAAATCCGGATGTAAGTGTGCAGTCAAACATGGTTCTGGACTGTTTTGCTACAACAAATGTTCATTGGACTGGAACAGAGTCGAAATCATTATAGTGATAGGAGAGTGTTATAATCTAATGATTGATATCATTACTTATACTGTTATATTTTAGTATTTGCAATATTACAACGATTCTAACGGGGCACTAAATTCATTCAATTAATAAAACCTATCAAAGGGTGCAAAACGTCAACAATGTCTTTACACGAACAGTTACGGGTGTACAAGATTGTGAGATGCTTCATTTCATGCGGTTGTAAAGTAACATTCCAGGTCTTGCTGTACCTGCCACTACGTTTCGTTTCACTCGATTGGAACGTAACAGAGCAACTGTGCTGGTCACTCCTTGGTCCGGCTCTTGAGAAGCTGCAAGATGGTGGTCAATTGGCATATCTTCCGCGGCGGGCCATTGAATAGAGCATTCCACAGAATTCTTACCATAAATGCCCTCTTATACATCAAAATAAGCCAAGTTGTTTCAAGTCAAACAATTAAGTTTCAAGTCGAATTCAGTTCAAAATTGTTTACTCATTTCCGAAACTAGGCAAAAGTATGTTTCCAGGCCAACATACTATCACGAGCCTACCGCTCGCTTATTTTCCTTATCTTCCTCCACAAGAACCCTGTCAGCGATTATCTGACAAGGATGGATCAAAAGTGATCTCATTGCAAATCTTTGACCAATTTCATATCGTCCGAATCCGAACAGGAAAGTTGGCACATTGTCTAGACCGAGCTCTGAACAGTTACATCCGCAATGAAAGCATCTCAGCAAAAAACTACCTTTTCATTGCATTGTCACGGAAAATGTTCACCTGTAGGTTAAACGATGATTGAGATGAAAAAGTGAATCAACAATAACGATGAAATACAGATCATCCTGCCACCGATGAAGTTGACGAATCGAGGTTCCTTTGAATTCTCGACACTACCACATCGTTTATATGCATCATCCATTCCGTTCATAAACGCCATAATCATGCATGACGTGATATGACATATTTCACATATCATTCTCTCAATTCTCCATGCATTATGCAAACTGTACTAAACACACACGCAACAACGATGCTTCAGATTATCAGCGGTATGCAAAGCATTGTAAGATGAACATTCACGGAAACATCTTGTCTCGAACGTCAATTGTATCAAACATTGGCTTTGGCTGCCCAGTGGTATGCAGGATTGTATACAGAAGATTTTCACTGCACAGAATTTATTTGTTTAACACAATAGATAGCGCAGTATATGTGAAATTGATGATGACAATAATCTTAATAGTGTTCACAGGTTTGAGGCAATAACAGTGGGTGAAGTCGACCGACACTAGTGAAAATATTAACGGCAATCATAACGACAGTAATGACAAGGCTATGACGGAATGTTAGGCGTTGCAAGGGACTTGGATGATGGAAACTGTCGAGAATATTGAATCAATTAACTTCATCACTGGTGCTTTGGGTGGCGTTTTGGAAGATTATTTGTTCGAAACTGATGAAAATTTTTGGAAGAAAGAGATTTTGGGTTAAGGTATTGAGATGCTGAGGTGTAATCTGCATTGTTGAAAATGATAGGTGAAACGAAGAATTTAGGATGAAAAAAGGAACATACAAGAAACGATTAATGAGCATTGTTTTGTGCCGCTATCGGAAACGATTTTGATGTCATTTTTGGATATAGAATCTGGATAATTCGCGATGCTCGCAATGATTACAATTCGGCATAAACGATAGGAATTGAGATAGTGCTATAAGTGATGATTGATATGCTGAATGTGAATTATATGACTTGATGCTACTTTAGACTAGTTCAAACATTCGAGATTAGAAAACATTTATGCGAATGACATGAATTTAATGTCATTATTTGCAAGTCATTATTTCATACCACCTTGCTTTGCCGATTGTTCTGAGCGATCGACAAAAAGTTTAACGTCGTTATGATTATCTGCTGGATTGGTATTCGGCTATGCATGATTACGATTACTAATTTTGATTATAAAAAGTATTTATGGCGGTGTGCATTCATTATCGCTTGGTTTTGGAATGTTTGATAAGTCGATCGCTATGGATCTATTCGGTTACATCGTTTAAAATCATGTCTATTATTGATCATGAAAGATCGCTGGCTTACTAACGTCGTTCGTTTCAAATAACCGATCCCTGGACGCTTGTTTAATGGATCAACAAGTATTTTCGGATTCATTTTGAGTCACAACCCTTGCAAATCATTGGTTAGTATGAGAGAGTAGCTCAACACTTCAACGCTCGCTAAATGAATAGTCGAAGTTAGGATTTCAGAAAGACAGATGATTTCTGGCGCCACCATTGCAAGCTGTGCAGAAGAAAGGATGCTAAGGAGGAAAGAATTTGATATCAGTGATATAGATGATAACATGAGTTGTAATTGCTGACCTAAGTAATCAATTAATGCTTGCAAGTCATGAACGCTCGATAATTCGCGTCGGTTTGCTATCGATGGAATGGATTGATAGGGTTTGTTCATCAATACTTCCGAGTTTGGACTACATTCGCTGAATTACGAAGTGCATTGTATCAATAATTGAATTGTGTGGATTATACGAATTATACAAATCGATGAAATATACACTGAATTATACGAATCTAACAATGAATTACTGTATGAATATGACAATCAATTATACGAATTTAGTTATTCATTTATGATTTATGATCGCGGAGCGGTTATATGTGATAAATGAATAACAGTTTCGCAGCAAAGTTTCATTTTTCTCGTTTCAGTGATGATCAACATCAACATTTCATCAGTGATGATCACGTTGGAACCGAATTTCCGAACATCCTCTTTGAAAACCAGGGGGCTTCACTTTAGCGTTGATGTTACTTACAATCATTTAACATACAATCTCTGTAACTGCCCTAAGGGTCTTTAGTGATTAGCACAGGTTATTGTTCACTAAACATCATGGTGTTCCATCATCACTCACGAACTTGATCGCCCGGGGTGTAAGCATGGCGATTTCCATAGATTTTCGAAGAAGTTCTGTTCTCCCCAGTTTCATCCAATGTCAATTGCTTACTCCTTGTGGAAACTTTCCCCATTTTTTCGAAATGTTCAGTTTGTAAAAGAG